TTTTCCTAAATGCATATCACCATTTGTTATGAAAACGTTGCTAAACGCAGTGCGTGAATGGAGCCATAGGGATACATTGTTTACATTTAGCTGAGGTAAATATGTTCCTCTAACCGCAGCTAAAAGTTGAAATCTAACCGCCCGCGTGAAACGGGCCTTAAGGTCAGGGTGGTCAGCCAACAAATGTAGTTAAATACAAGCTGAAGTAATTAAACGGATAAACGAAAATGCAGGAAATAATATGGACTGGGGCTAGGAAATTAATCTAATGCTCAGGGAAAGGCATTGATCTGAAGCAAGGGCGGACTGACCATTTGGAAACTCGGGCACTGCCCGAGGGCCCGGGGTCAGTAGGGGGCCCCATGAGATGCCCCTGGTACCTTTTTCATTGGCTTTTTTGAGTTTGGGCAAGGACACAGGGGCCCCATGATCCCCTATTGCCCAGGGTCCCTATGAGTTGTTAGTCTGCCCCTGGTCTTAAGACAGCTAAATAGTGATGTTGATTGACAGGCTGGGTGGAGACTTATCCTGTAGGTACTATATAAACCACCAAGTGTGGTTCTGTGACACCTACACCTCACAGTCCTGAAACAAAGCATGCTGTAAAAAGGCAGGAGAGACCACATGCTAATTGACACACAAATAATAGATCTGCTTAGGTAATATTAAAAGCAGCAAATAAAATAGAAAGGGCAGAAACATGAGCTTTGATATTGCTGATCTTGCCATGGCTTTACATCGGTAAAAAAGACATTCCACTCAAACTAAAAGGAACTCTAGATCCAACAAGAATTGATTTGGATGTCAAAGCTAAAAGGTATTCTATCTAGCTTATTTTGTTGTGGTGATCGCATGGAGGCCAAACAGATAAAAACTCATGAATACTTTTTTGAATGCCAGAGCAGACATTACTCCCTTTCCTGACAATGATAAAGCAATTGATAAGAATTCACCAGCTGTATTTGCTTAAACAATCTGCTTGTGGCAGAATTACCTTTTTTTTGTCATGGGAAAATGAACAAAAAATATATATCTTTTTATGCAGCTTACAGTGTAAGACTGGCCATACATTATACTAGGGATGTGCTGATACCCTTTTTTGATCGCGAGTACGTGTACTGATACCTTGCGGTGCCCTTTGCGTCAATACAAAATATATGGACTTAAATTGCACTGCAAAGAATAGCGTGCAATTTGAACAGGAATGTGGTGTGATTCCTGTCCAAATCGCATATGGTTTCCCCTACTACTCCTGTGTGAACCCAGGCTTGCCAAACCTCCCTGCACTGATCCCATGCTGTCACAGAATGAAAAGCAGGGGATTTTAAATCCCTGCAGCTTTCTCTTCTCTCAGTGCAGGAATAACAGTATGGGCTAGATGGCTTTTAACAGTACCATGACAGTGCTGACCAATCAGAAGCTGTCCTGACCCATACTGTCATTCCTGCAAGAAGAGGAGAGAGAACCGCTTCAGGGGTCTGGGTATTTGAAATCCCCATGGCTTTCTCTCCTCTCCTTGCAGGGATGACAGTATGGGCTAGATGGCTTCGGTGATGATGCTGACCAATCAAAAGCCATCACGCCTGTACTGTCATCCCTCGGAAATCCCCAGCTTTTCTGTCTGTGACAGCATTGGATCGGTGCAGGGAGGTTTCCTGCACTGCTCCTTTCTGACCCATGTGCTATGACAAGCCTGGGTTCACACAGGAACAGTGGGGAAACAGTATGCGATTTGGACAGGAATCACACCGCATTCCTGTTTAAATTGCATGCTATTTGTTCCGGTGCTAGTTGCGTGTATACATTTTGTATTAATGCAAATTGCACTGCAAAGTATCCGTTTCAGGTAACGGGAGCATTTTCACGAGTACGCGTGAAAATACTGGGTATTGGCACATATACAGGTATCGGTGTATCCTTACATTATACTATTTTCCTTTAGATTTACCAAAACCTGAAAACACTTTCAATTTGTATGCAATTTGGCAGGCCCTTGCACTACTTAGTTGAAGGAAAATCTAAAGTGAATTGAATAAGAAAATTGTACAATGTATGGCCAGCTTAAGGCCCAAGCTACCTACTGTTTTGCAAACACTTTATTTTCTGCCTTGTTCTGTCTGACTTTCTGTCTCAAACTGACTGTTTTCAATTACCTATTAGCAATGGCATAAAGAATTTAAAAAAAGAATTAAGTAACTGCAGGGGATACAGCAGTGTAAAATTGTCCAGTAACAGGACAGTTTTAATTAGGGATCATAGGCCTAACTGGTGCATCCCCTGCTCTCTTAGAGAAAGCAGACCAACTGGTATTTCGTTGCTCCCAGGACATATTACATGATGCTATATTTTGTTGGCCAGATAGCACACGATACTGAAATGTAAATGCAGAAGAAGAGTGTCTGTGGTTCAGGAAAATAGAGGATGGCAGCAACAGTTGTCTTAGCTGGGGAGCAGGGGCAGACTGACAACTCATGGGGCCCCCGGGCAGTAGGGGATCATGGGGCCCCTGTGTCCTCGCCCACACTCAAACCACACCCAAAAAAGCCTTTGAAAGGTACCAGGGGCATCTCATGGGGCCCCCTACTGACCCCAGGCCCCTGGGCAGTGCCCGAATTCCCAAATGGTCAGTCCGCCCCTGCTGGGGAGTAATCAGAGGGACTTGTCAAGTAGTTGGACAAGGCAGAATGACAGAGACATGGTCAGTAAACAGGCAGATGCTCAGTGCAGACAGCAGGCAGAGAGGAGGTCAGTAAATGTGCAAAGGGTTAGTCCAGACAACAGGCAGAGGAGATAGACAAACGCAGGCAGGGTTCAGTCCAGGCAGCAGACAGAAACATGGTCAAAGTACAAGCAAGAGTAAGTACACAGACAGATCAGATACAGGCAATGGCTGCTAGTGAGGCATGTAGAAAAACATCACAAGCACCAAGTGCATAGCATCTGATGTTTAAATCTTGCACAGTTTGACAGGGGACCAATAGGGAGTTAGAAAGGAAGAGCAGGCTGTGGTGGTGTAGCCAGGTAAAAGGAGCCACTTTGCCTGGAAAACCACACACCACAGCCAATGGGGAATGAGGCATCAAGGAAGCAGTTGTGTTGCCTGGGAGAAGGAATGCCGCAAGGACCAGCAGAGGCACACCAGGAGGCATGACAGGAAGCAGCAGAGGAGACCTGAGAATATGGCTGGACCTGATGAGCTGCACAGGGGATAGGGTAACTTGGGTAAGTCCTTAAATTGTAAAAAAACAAATTTAAAGGCCTTTGTTAGATACTTTAGGGTTAATCTACTAAAAATGGCAGGTGCAAAATCTGGTGCGGCTGTGCATGGTAGCCAGTCAGCTTTTAACTTCAGCTTGTTCAATGAAGCTTTGACAACCTGGAAGCTGATTGGTTTGTATGCAGAACTACATGAGATTTTGCATTGCCAGTTTAAAGGATAAGGTCACCTTTGGGAACATGTAACATGTTCCCACTGCTGCTGGCTGCCCCCCTCCCTGTGACAGAAGTACAGGAAGAAGTTCCCCATACAAGTTGTCACTATTTAAAAACAGAATGAACTACAAGTCCCAACATCCTTAGCAGCTGTCGGCTTGTAGTTCTCAATGAACTACCATGGAGCGCCGTGATAGTTCATTGAATCTTCCTGTAAGTATATCTGCTTACCTGTACATCCCGTATAGGCTAGCAAATATACTGACAGGTCTGTAAATATCACCAGAGATCTGCTGATCACTGGTGCAATGCTTTCCAGGCTCCTGCAACCAAATAATAAATGCTAATTTTTTTACTTGCAGACAAATGCGCATTTATTATTTTTGCTCAAAACTGAACTTATCCTTTAAGTAAATCAACTCTTGTGTTGTGGGGTGACAATCTCCTGCTTGCAAATTACGCTGTCATATGCTTTCCCAAAAGAAAAAAATAAGCTTCAGTGCTGATGCATATTCCTCTTAAATAATACACTGTTTTTACAAAAAAGGCCCTTTTAGAAAAAAAGCAGCTAGGAACAAAAAAGAAACCATTTGCAGCCAGCAAAAAATGTAAAATATGCCCTTTATAAACACACATTCAACCTGTTATGATTGTAGATAGTGCATGTTTAGAGCCTGTAAAGTGGCTGCAGGACACACATCAGGAACATTAACATGTAAAATTCCCTTTTTTCCCCCATCCCCAAGTTCCCCCAAGATACATTGCATTTTTGTACTTGAAGGACATTCAGTAAGGGCTTACATCTTACATTAGTTTCTATATGCCCTACTCAGATCTGTCCCTGTGCACTTTACCAGCAGCACCGAGCCCCTATGCTTAGCCTATGCCTGGTAAACAGATTGTTAATACAGCTGCTGAGAACAGTGCCTTTTTATAGTGAGGAGCTGGCACAAAACAAAGCCCTCATTACTGGCCAATCTATGGCACCTCACCTAAGTTCAGAGGCCAGGAAGTGTATTATTTGTAGTGGGTTTCTATGGAAACTGCATTATGCTGATGTGTCTGCAAACCGTCAACGAGTTGGGTTCATTGCGTAACATGCTTGACCTGAACTGAAGGTGAAGCTGTTGAGTATCATTACAGAATAGGAGAGATTCTGAATATAGATAAATAGAGTACTTAAAAAGACTTGAATGCAATCACAAAAAGGCTGTCCAAGAGCTGTGTTTTTCATCCAACTCCATATAGAAAATTCAGTTCTTCAGTTAACGTACACGAGATGTCAGACATGTGTTGATAGTCAAATCTTTGGAGAAAAGCTTTCAAATCACCAAAGTTTCACATTTATGACTAAAGTAAATAAAGATGTAAAGGCAAAACTTCATGTTGAAGAGACACTAAAGAATTACAGAGATATTTTAAGGAGAACCAAAAGTCTTGGTGCAAATAAGTTGACAGAAAGATTGATTGATCAAACTTTTTTTAGGAAATTAATAGGTTAGGTTAACTTTGGGTGGGCTGATAGGTAATTAAACGGTTACAATAATAACTGGCATGGTATCCCCTAACCTCAGGTTGTCCTATACAGGAGTGCAATGGATTGGGGTACCTGGAGAGCTAAGAGGATATGAGGCAGCACACCAGCGATATGGGCGACTACCATGGAAATCACTCTTCGAACCAACAATTAAGCTAGTGACGAATGGAATTCGGGTTTCAAGCCTTATGAGCAAATATCTGTCTTTCTTTGAAAAGTTAATAAAAAAACACTCTATTTGGTAAGCACAATGGATGAGGAGATCATATGCAGTGTTTGGTATACTGAAATAAGATTGATTGATAGATAAATGGATAGATACTGTAGATTGATTTTTCAGTATCAGTTGATTAAAGAAAAAGTGTTTCCCAAAGAACATAGTGCTGACTATAAGCATAAGAAGTAGTCAGCTCTTGATTTGGTGTGTATAAGTTTGGAAAGTCTATTAATACTGGTATTTCTTTTGTTACATAGACTTAGAATAACAGTCAACTTTGATGATTAAGACTCTGCATCCATCTATTTTTTTACAGTCAGCTGTTGTGTGAGAATAAAGAGGTTCTAACAGAAGGACAGGCCATAAACTTCACCCAGCTAGGGTATACCCTTCGAGCGTTGGCAGATGAAGGAGCTGATAGCTTCTACAATGGATCCATCTCAAGGAAGATGCTAGAGGACCTCCATAATGAGGGTTTGTTCTCCTCTTTATGTGTGTCTTTTACCTAATACTATATATTCTGATTTTTCCTTCATTTAGTTAGAATACACCAATCTGTGAACTTAGTTGTATTTCAAAGAGATTCATACTTCAATCATGCCAATGTAGTGAGTTGGTAGGATTCACTATCTGTAAAACGGAGATCTCTCCTTAAGGTATGTTAAGCTGGCTAAACACAAATTAATTTGTATCTATCTCTGTTTAGGTTCAAACAGAATGTCCAATCATATTTGGAAGTGTTTATTGTTTTTTCCTGCTTTCTCTAAAGTATGACCATAAATACAATCAAAATTATTTTACTGAAAGGGTAGTTGCTGCTTGGGAATAAACTTCCAGCAGAGATAGTGAGCCAGTCAACAGTAAATGGCTACACACATGCTTGGGACAAACATAGATCTATACTCAGACAAAAAAGTTAACGGGAAAAAAAAAAACAAACAAAAAATAAATAAAATACAAAAAACACACAAAAAAAGAAACCGGACAGACTTAATGGACCACTTGGTCTTTTTTTCTGCCGTCATTTTTCTATGTTAATTATGATTTTTTGAAATAATTTTTCTTTCAATTGCTTTCTCCTGCATCCCATAAAAAGATCAAATCAGAAAATTGAATTGAAAAAAAACAGAAAAATTTCCCAATTACTTCTTTGTCTTTGACCTTAAAGACATTAAAAAAGTGATCAAAAGTTTGCTCATAATACATTTTTTGAAGCTATACCTGAAATATCAGATTACTACTAAACAACTAAAGTGAAAGGTGTGTGTGAACACTTTTATACATATGCTTAAAAGGGCTTTTCTGCTTTGACTGACAAAGTGAAGAACCCCTTTATCAGGGATTCATGGGAACCAGTCAGATCTCTGCACTAATCCCAGCCAATAAGCTTTTTGAGACTTCTACCCATAATCTACTGTCTTCAGCCAAGCAAAAAAGAGGGGTATCTCTAAACATGGAGTTTTTTTTGATGAAGGAGGTGATTGTAGCCGTATTAGTGCACTTGCAACAGAAACAATTCAGTATTGTCCGTGATACTTTTTTATTTGCACTAACATACAATTTTGAGGACAAGCTTTCGGGGTGTGTCCCCTTCAAGGTCCAAGCAGTACTGCTTGGACCTTGAAGAAGGGGACACTTCCCGAAAGCTTGTCCTCAAAATTGTATGTTAATGCAAATAAAAAAAGTATCACGGACAATACTGAATTGTTTTTGGATGAAGGAGTTTGCCATATCGCTAATGAACTCAGAAAGCCCCTGTAACAGTTATTACTCTACATGCTGGAAACAGATCAACAAATAATATAAAGAGTTAACATTTCAGCCATTTTTAATATCTGTTCTGCTGTCATTTCCTTTTAGTATGATTTGCTTTACCTATGTTTTTCCTCCATATTCTTTTGCACCACACTAATTCATAGTATAATGTATTTGTATTAGGAAGCTTTTTGACTGCAGAAGACTTACAAAATTACAAGGTGCAAATTGTAAGACCTTTGAACTATTCTCTTGGAGCCTACACTTTGTATTCTCCTCCACCCCCAGCAGGAGGAGCTTTAGTTAGTTTCCTACTCAATATACTAGAAGGTAAGAACATGTTATTCATCTAGGCAGTTAATAAACTGCAACAAGTTGTGTTTTGCTTTTATGTACTATGGAAAAAAATCTCATGAAAGTGTAAATGTATAATTTCAATGGATGCTTAGGTTTGAGTTGATAACAGTTTTAGTATAATGCTGACTAATGAGGTGAGGATCTATTCTTTGCTCTCAAATGAATTTGAATACTGTAGATATTTTTAATTGCTAAACTTGTGACGTGGGGACTCAGTTTCCATACTTTTCCCTCTGTTCTGAACTATGCTACAGAAAATCCTGCCATATGGATTTTCTATTCAATAACTTGATTTACTGTTTTTATTCAAATAAAATGTGCAAAGAGGTAAGCAAACTGCAGTAGCCCACATATATTATATTTAAACCTGTTTAACTGATCTAGGTACAGTTCACCTAACTCTGACTGTTGTCATGATTTACTGCGTTTTGCACATCCTTGTTACCCTTTGCACTTCTTATTGAACTTACCCACAATGAGTATCTCTGTTACAAGGTTTTCCCTAGTTTGTTACTGACTACCCAATGAGCCAGCTGGATCTGTGCAAATGCTCTCCAAGCATATGAACCATTTCTCTACAGTGTGATGGGAATATGTTTCACGCATTTATATTATAGCAATTTCACACACAGGGTTTTAATATCAGATCTGAGTTGCTTTTGTAGCCCATGTGCAGCAATGGTTAGTGCAGCAATGCCTGGCATGTAGTCAGGCCCAGATCTAGGGGGGTGCTAGGTTGGTCTGCCCCCTCCCCCAGATTTGGTTGTGCCCCTCCAAGTCTGTGATGGAGACAGATGATTTAGGGGGGCACAAAGAGACGAGGACAACTGATGTAAGGGAGCACCCAGGTGGGGACCATGGTGTAAAGGGGAACTCTGAAGTAAAATGGGAATCTATTAGGGACACATAGGGCGCACAGATTCTTGTAATTCATTCAAGTCTAATGTCAGCTTAAAGTGTTACTAAACCCAAGACCCTGCATTCACTATATCTGGTCTCCCACATTACACAGAACATGAAAGTGCAGTTATTTTAGTAAATATAAACTGCTAAATACCTTTTTCTCATCAACAGTTAGAGCAGTCTTGTGACTTCAGCTGAGTACTGGTTAAAGCTTGTAGGAGGAGTTTTCTTTCTGCTCTAGGAGGATGCAAAACCCCTGACCTCGGTCTGGACAGTGCTGATTGGCCCTGTGCTGATTACATGCACTCTCCCAAGAAAAAAAAAAACAAACTTCTCTAGCAATACATACTAAACTGAGCATGTGTGGAAGGGCTACGGGTTCAGTCTGTCTTATCAGTGTGGACATTTGAACAAGAGGAGGGGCATAGAAGAAAGAATCAAACTGCCTTCTTACACAATGCAGAGGATTAACCCCTTAGGTTCCACAGTGAGTATAACAAGCATGCTTTACTGGATATACAGACTGATTTTTACTGTTGTGGGTTTATTAACACTTTAATACATACTAGTGTTCCCCTATTCACTTCCTGCATTACCTCTGCACTAGCAGTCAGACATTACTGCCGGGTCATGAATTGTGGCACAGAAGTGCAGAGTGAACAAGGGAATACTGGTCCCCTGCATCTGTGACAAACAGTCAATGACTCAACAGTGTTAACAATATGTCCCCATAACATACTAATACAGCACACTAAAACTCAGAAGAGAGTAGTTGGCCTTGTTACGAAGTAGAGTAAGCTGGACACTGCTAGGCACATAATTGTGAAAACATGTAAAACAGTAAACAGAGAAACAAAGACAATTATATATTTAAAACAAATGAATAAGCCATCTACTATGTTGATCCTCTGCAGTAGGCAAAGAATGTTTAACTGTTGATTCAGAACCCCTTTAATTTAATTTGAACTCAAGTTGGAGCAACTGACAGAGGACATCTGTTTTCAGGTTATCACTTTTCTGCAAGCTCTGTGCAGAGTGAGACAGAACAGATACAGACCTACCATTACATTGCTGAAGAAGCCTTTAAATTTGCTAATGGACAAAAGAGAAAACTGGCAGAGAGTCTGGCAGCTGGTAACACAAAAGAGGTATGAATATAAATGTATATGATGGACAGTGGTGAATCTGATTGGTATATAAATGCACAGCAGAGGATAGAGTTACCAGATGTTAATTTTGCTGACTGGCTTCACCCATCTGAAAAGCAATGCTTTGTATCAGTCCTAAGCAAGATTACAGTATATTTAATGCTAGACAGACTAAAATCTGCACATTTAGATATCACAGTGTGGTCAGTTCACAGAGATAAATACTGCTTGAAGTTATGCTGTTGCCTTTTTTGCAGTATTCAAAGCTGCATTCCAGCTATGAATATTTTTGGAAAGTGAAGGGATGGACGCTGCTCCACCAACCCCTGGAGTCCAACGTTAAGGAATGGCCTCAGTCGCCGTACTCGCCATGCCTTTGATGCGTTTCACACCATCCACTGGGCTTGGTCACAAGTGTGACCAAGCCCCAGTGGACGGAGCGAAATGCATCAAAGGGCATGGCAGTATGGCGGCTGAGGCCATTCCTTAACATTGGACTTCTGGGGTCGGTGGAGCAGCATCCATCCATTCACTTGTATTGGCTGACACTGGAATCGCTCAGTCTCATGCTCCCCTCTTCTCATTTGCCGGTGGGTGATTCTTTCCTTCCATCCATAGCTTGGAGCAGCGCCATAAGGTATACTTTTTCACCAAATATTTTTGCGTAGTTACATTGGTCCATATTAGTTCATCTTGGACTAATATAGGTTAGCATATTTCATACCTGGCTGATCCCCGTGGCACCGGAGAATCCATGTAGCTTGGTAGGGGCACCATTCAGAGAATGCTTTGCATTTGCACAATCAATGCAAAACATTCTCTTGGACAAGGTGGAAATGTGGAGCAGTGTCACAATCTCCACTTCATCCAATCTCAGAACGCTTTGCATTCATTGATCATACAGGGATCAACAAGGTATGAAATATGCATACTTACATTGGTTCAAACTGAATCAATGTAACTGAAAACACTTTCCATGCCTGGATGCAGCTTTAACACATACATTTGTGTTTATTAGACTTCTTATTTTATCGCAGATCAATCCTCTGGCTGCAGTGGGAAGTGAAATATTTTGTTATTTATCAGCGGTATTACTAGCACTGCAAAATGTAACACCTCCTGCTCAGGCTACTGATTACTGGGGAACTGACAGCCACTGGCATCCTGACTACCATTACTCATCCTTACCTGGCCCATTCAGCTTACAAGTGAATGTAAACAAAAGGAACAGTAAAATAACTATGTAAAAAATAGTGAATCTGTAGCAGGGAAAGATCAGGTCCTATCTACACAACACAGAACTTAACTGTGTGACAGAGCTGTGTAAATCTCAGGCAGGGACAGGCAAATAAAATCCTTTGACATGTAAAACAATTCTTACTGAACCCAGATTTAAAATTAAAAAGGATGTGTGCTGATTGGTAAAGAATTCCTCTGTTCATTCATTCAGTTTCTTTTCCTACCTTCACTCCTACAGCTTTTAGACACTCTGCTGTCACCAATCTTCGCACAGAAGATAAGAGAGAAGATTGATGACTCTGGTGATCACACACTCAGCTTCTATAATGTGTCTTCTGTTTATCCTGAAACATTAGGCACCACTCACATCTCTGTCATTACCAAAGATGGGAGTTCGGTTTCTGTCACAAGCTCCATCAATCATGTGTAAGAATTTTCCTTTTAAATTTGCATATATATTTTTGAGTAGAGAAGACAACTATTTCTGATTTTAATGTATTTGAATAACTTTTATATCATTTTCAATCAGGGTTGACAAACACCTATAAATTCAAAAGCCCAAACAATTAAAGTTCAATTTGGGTTGTCTGGGAGACAAATGCAACTTCTATTTTTTCTGTCTGCTGCCTCCTACCGTACTACATACTGTATATTATCGTTTATAGGCCTTTTCACCTTCTCCAAATTAGTCTCTAATAATCTTTCAGAACATATCAGTGGTCTCTGGTCATCTTTGGGAGCAAATCAATAGTCTCCAGTCATATATGAGAGCATGTTTGTGGCCTCCAGTAATCTTTGGCAGCACATCGGTGTTCTCTGGACATCTTTAGGAGAAAGTCACTGATGTCATGTCAACTTTGAGAAAATGTCAGTAATCTCTAGTCATCTTTGAGAGAAAGTCAATGCATTGTAGTCATCTTTGGGATAATGTCAGTTCTCTCTAGTCATCTTTGGGAGCATGCCAGTGGTCTCTAGTCATCTTTGGGAGCATGCCAGTGGTCTCTAGTCATCTTTGGGAGCGTGTCAGTGGTCTTTAGTCATTTTTTGAGCATGTCAGTGACCCCTAGTTATCTTTGAGAGCCTGTCAATGGTCTCTAGTGCTTTTTTCCAGCATATCAGTTGCTATGTTTTATCTCTTCCAGCATATCTGTGATTTTAGATGATTCTTGCAACATAAGAGTTGCCGAGTAGTCCTCTATCACTAGTCACTTTTTGCAGTATGTCAGTGCTCTTAGTTTCTTGCATCATGCTGACAGCTTCTACTGGTCTCTCATAAAAACTTCACTTACTTCTAACTATCTCTTGCAATATATCAATGGTCTTTTGTAATGGGTATGGTAAAACAGGGATGAAATTTTAAAGTTTTACCATGTCTGTTATGATTTAGAGTCAAACAAGTTAAACTTTTCCTTTTAACCCATGAACAATTATTGCCGCAATATGCTTAGTTCTTTGCAGTGTTGAGGTAAGTGATTTACAGAAACATTCTACACCTTCATACCCTTGTGTTGAATCCTTGGTATTCATTCTCCTCATCACTCTGTCCATGACCACAATCATCTTTCCTATATGCATCCATTGTCCATCAAGCTCTGTTCTTGGCATCTTACAGTTGCCAGGAAAGGGTCAGGAGTGTACACTGCACTGCGTATGTTGTGTACCCCAATAAAAAAAATTGATAGAAAAAGCAGTTTTTTGGCAGTAGATATTTATAAAGTATTGTTTATCAGAGAATTGTATCTGCTAACAAATTGTTGATTAGAACTTTAGTTCCTCTACCCATACGTTTTGCAGATTTTTCAGCTGGTTTGGTATTATAATATGCTCATCACACCCAATTTAGGTTGTTATCAACAACGCCTCTTTTTTTTAACACTAACTCTTTCTTTGTAGTGTGCCCTCACTTACATAAAAAGAAATAGAGGGTCAGCTCTTATAAGGGTAAACTAGACTATCAGAGAGGATCAATAGCCTGTCCTTTCAAGAATAATAGCAGACATAACATTTAATTACACCATGTTTTTCTCCCTACAGAAAGAGTCATACACCCGGCTCTCAGGCCTCAACTGCTGACAGGTATAAGGTCCTGTCTCCTCATAGTGCTTTTATACATATAAATATGGGCTCTACCTTAGCCCTGATTTAAAAAAAATAATATATAAATATCTCAAAAGATGCATGAAGTATACTTATTGATGACACTCAATTGATAAAAACAACTACAATACCTTTATTACACATTGACATAGACAGACAAGAAATATATTAAGACCTGATTACCACTAGATCACCAGTTGTTATACCAATCTTCATATATTCTTATATACTGTGCAGGCCTTTTATGTGTATATGTTTATATACAGTATGTATATATGTATGGTGGCCACCAGGAACTACCAGCTAGATTATATGCAGAGTAAAAAAAAAAGGGGTACGCTGTCTCTTAAAAATTCCAAAGTGTAATTGTGCATACAATATCAAACCATATTATTATAGAGAAAATAGATCATGCAAGCTCAATATATGCAATAACATAAATAAATATAAAGATAACATCACAAATAAGGTTGTGCCAAAACACCATAATCAACTTTAAATAAATAAATAAAATAATAAACCTAGAAGAGTATATATCCATACAGATGGACAAATGTGTGTGTGTGTGGACAAAAATAAGCAAAATGCCTAAATATGTCAAAACAAACTTAAAAGGTATATGTGATATAACCCAGTACTCCACTCTCAAAATAGAAAAAACATTATAAAAGTGTATATGCATACAGATGGACAAATGTACATATGGACAAAAGTTTAATGAACAAGCATAAATATTGGAAACAAAGTTGAAGATGAATAAAGCAACCAAAATGTGCAAAATATCCATACAGATGAATAATTTATCCTGGTGAACAATCCAAAATCAAGATGGAAAATCCCAAAAGAAAAGGAGACATGCTTCAAAGAGTAAGATGGAGAGCATTCAGTGCTGCAGGAATAGAGGGTGCCAGGAAATCACACCACCCACATGTAAGGTGAACTCCTTACCAGAGACACTGATCCCACACAGAGATCATGAAGCGCCTTGCTGTCCCACAGCACAAAATATTGAAAACACACCACTCCATCTAGATACGATTCTGTAGAAGTGTGTAAAACAAGAAAGGACCACCATAGTGCAGTGTGTTAAAACCAAAGGCTTTTAATATGGTAATGTATTTACAATAAAAAGACAATCACAAGCATATAACAACGATGAGCATCACCAGATTCCGCCAGCGTGCATAATAGCATCATGTGTTCGGCCCTGCTCTAATGCGTTTCACTGTAAACGGAGTCTTCAGTGGATAGAGGCATAACACGGACATCCACTGCTCTCTTAAATACAGTCCAGGAAGAGGAAACTACAGGCTAACCGACCAAAAAATATCTACAAAAAATTATATCTGCAAAAAAACAACCCAAAACATAAAAAGGTCATCTAAAAAAGTGATTATGAGGATTAAGAAAAAAAAAAAAAAAAATTTAATAAAAACAAAAAAAAAAATACATAGATATTCATAGATATCAATGAGAGCCCGAAAAGAGGGCAACATCTTGTGGTCAAAATCAAATTAAACATCCTCATATTACCATATGCCTCAGGATCTCCAAACTGAGACTGCATTTTCACAGACTAATTCTGGAAATAAAACCAGTAAAATCTTTAAAAATACCAATAAAACAGTCAATAAAATAACCGCAATAGAGAAGAAAAAGGAAAGAATTAAGAATTGTTAATGAAACAGTTAATATCCCATTCCTCATTATGACCCAGTGGGTAATAAGTTCTGAGATGGTAAATCCACTGGGTTTCGTGTTGTGAAATAACCCTCTTTGGGTTACTTCCATGCCAATTAGGAGAGTATTTATGTATAGCAACTAATTTTAACCACTTGTCCTCCAGAGGATTTACCCCCCTTACTGACCAGGCCATTTTTTGAGTTATGGCGCTGCGTTACTTTAACTTATAATTGCGCAGTCATGCAATGCCGCACCTAGATGACATTTACGTCCTTTTTTTCCCATGAATTGAGCTTTCTTTGGTGGTATTTGATCGCCTGTGTGTGTTTTATTTTTTGCGCTATAAGCAAAAAAAGGACAATTTTGAGAAAAAAACTATTTTGGACTTTTTGCTATTAACCACTTACCCTGACCAGGCCTTTTTTGCTGCTGTTTGGCGCTGTACTACTTCAACAGATAATTGCGCGCGGTCATGCAATGCTGTACCCAAACGAAATGTACATCCTCTTTTTCACACAAATAGAGCTTTCTTTCAGTGGTATTTAATCACCTGTGCGCTTTTTATTTTTTGAACTATAAACAAAACAAAAGACTGAAAATTTTGAAAAAAACAATATTTTCTACTTTCGGCTATAAAAAATATATCGTAAACTAAAAGTTACTCATAAATTTAAGCCAAAATGTATTCTGCTACATGTTTTTGGTAAAAAAAAAAAATCCCAATAAGTGTATATTGATTGCTTTGTGTGAAAGTTATAGTGTCTACAAACTATGGTATAGATAATTTGAAATTTACACAGAATTTTACTTTCTGACTGCTCATCACATTTCTTAAGGTGCTAAAATACCAGGATAGAGGAACAGCGCTGAACTATTTTAACTGACAATTGCACGGTCATGCAATGCTGTACATAAATTAAATTTATGTCCTTTTTTTCACACAAATAGTGCTTTCTTTTGGTGGAATTTGATCACCTATGCGCTTTTTATTTTTTGCGCTATAAACAAAAAAACCCCCTGTCATAAAAAATATCCAAAAAATTCTAATTTCGTCATAAATGTAGGCGAAAATGTGTTCTGCTACATGTTTTTGGTAAAAAAAAATCCAAATAAAGTGTATATTAATTGCTTTGTGTGCCAGTTATAGCGTCTACAAACTATGGTATAGATAATTTGAAATTTACACAGCTTTTACTTTCTGACTGCCTATCACATTTCTTAAGGTGCTAAAATACCAGGATAGAGCAAACACCCCCAAATGACCCCTTTTCGGAAAGTAGACACCCTAAGCTATCTGCTGAGAGGCATATTGAGTCCATGAAAGATTTGTTTTTTTTCACAACGTTTTGGAAAATGACAAAAAGTTTTGTTTTGTTTTTTACACAAATTTGTCACTTAAATGATATATTGCTCACAAAAGCCATGGGTATATATGGAATTACACACCAAAATACATTCTGCTGCTCTACTGAATATGGGGATACCACATGTTTGAGACTTTTTGGGAGCCTAGCCACATACAGGAGCCTGAAATCCAATGACCACGTTGAAAGCCTGAAGGTGCGTAACTTCTTCATTTCACTTCCTCACTACCTATCACAGTTTCGGAGGCCCTGAAATGCCAGGATAGCACCAACCCCCCCCTCCAAA